TTTTCGGTTTTTTGACGTCTCAGAAGCGAATCGGCTGACGCCTAGTGGTGGGTACACCAAAACTGCGTCTTCTAGTGCTTCGTCCCAGTGTTCATACTGATCGGAAGTGGTTAGTGACAAGTTCGTTTCCATCATTGCTGCTGCCGCCGCCTTGTAAGATGATGAAAATCCCGTTGCCTCACAATGTCTCGCTTTGGGTTCATTGTGTTCAGTCAAAATCCGTTTTACGTCCTCATCATAGCTGCAGCAATCTTCGTCGTCTGATGAAGAACATGAAAATGCTTCTTTACTGTAGATTGGCACATACTTAAGGCACTCGTGCACGTAATCTGGATAATCCACTGTGTCGTTGATTGTAGATCCTGACGACGACATGGTGACGTATTGACTAACACGCTACCTACGTTAATACTCGTTGTCAGGGCCCCAATGTAAAATRGGCTGATGGTCTTTCTACGTGACGTCCGTATCCATAGTGACAACTATAGCGTGCTTGTAATGATTTATTATGGTTGCCAAGTTAGGTCTAATTAGATGATGTGAAAATCCATTTACAAAATTACAATTTTGAGTACCCAGTTCAAAAATAATTAAAGTCTCTCATAATTTGAAGGCACGTAAGCGGGTATAACTAATATCCCCAGTATAAGCAGGATCCAAATAATTAAAATCACTAGTTAATTTTTGTTGTGGATTTAATAACTAATTCGGGATTAAGGCCACTCCGATTTTATATTTCTGCCTACATTTACGGTTAATCAAATTATAAAATAGTAGATAAAAGTATTAATAATGAAACTTTTAAGTATAATTAAATAGAAAAAGGCAACAATTAACATAAGATTTTATAAATTTAGCCACTTTATCAATATTTTTAATCATAATTTAAGACTAAGTTATTAAAAACCTAATCTCCATAATATTTATTAATATGTTATGTTTACAGAAATTATTGGGAACAACATTTTATTTTTGAAACATACATATTTTTTCAAACTTCGTAACTTAATATTCCCGTTCGAAATAATAATTTAAAAAAATACCTATAGGTACTTAGATACCTTTTTCTCTTGTTTAACTGACTACTGTCATCTACTGATGAGGCTCTGTGTGAACAATATTACCTACTCCTTTGTTGTAATTGATTATTGATTTATAAAAGTTTGGCTAAAATAGCATAATAAAATATAAATATATATTAATAAAATAGCGAGTAAGTGGATGTCGCTCCGCTGTATATCAGTTTACAAGTGGGTTACTGTAATGTGTGGTATTAAATTTGAATTCAATGATATAATAATATCATTGTATGCGAGAATGATTCTGAACGAAGACGGTTTGTCAGTCTTGGATATTTAATGCTATTATATTGTTATTTTTTTTTTCAAAAAAAAAAAAAAAAAATGAAGGTAGGTATCTATAAAATAAATTCCAAATTAATCAAATCAGATTCATTATAATATGTACCATCATTAACGATATTAATTATTAAAATTAAAATATAAAGTTTAGAAATTTCAAATACCCACGAATAATAATCCTAAATTACAACAATATAACTAAAATTGTTATTCTTGGTTATTTAGTATGTAATTCCATCCAAATTTGAACATAAAATAACTGTAAGAAAAACTGTGTTTGAATAGTTTTTAGATTTTTTATCACAGAATTAACTAATTACGTGGAACCTTGTTTTAATTTTTTAATCCTTAGCTATTAAAGTTAAACGTTTTATAAATTTTTAACAATTTAATGATTTGTAAATTTTCAATTAAATAAATTTTGTCAACATATAAACTTTAAACGGTTATAAAAAAAACCTGTGCTTATGTATTTTAAATATTTTCTAACTGCTATTATATCAACTTATGGTGAACCTTGTGTTAAATTACATTTTTTATTTGATAAAAGTAGACAAACTCATGAAGAATCTATTAAATTGTCAAATCATAGATTAAAAAATACAAAATTCTATGCATTTTCAACTCAAAATAAATTGAAAATTTTCGTGATTTTTATGTATTTTGCCAATATTCGAACTTCCAATGATTATAAAACAAAAATTGTGACTATTTATTTTTAATAATTACAACTACCGTTGTGAAAATATTATATTAGGCACCTTAAATTAAATTTTTAAGCTATTTTACCAAACAAATACAATTTTATTGTCATTGTTCAAAAAAAAAAAAACTAAATAGGTAGTTGAAAATTGAAAATGTCTATAAATAACTTAAAAAGATTTGAAATATTTTGAAAATTTCTTCAGGGAGGTATACAAAATGCCAGTATAAACATTCAGTGTACATTTCATGTAGGTATCTATGATAATTTTTTTTCGTGAAAGTTTCGTATCTGGGCTACATCGGACGATTCATGGTATACACGTATACACTGTGTTGCTTGAAAATATATTTCTGTAACAATTATTTATTTTTGTTAAAACAAACATGCTTTAGCACAATAAATTTACATGT